GTATTAACGTGAACATTTTCCAATACCTACACATAAATTTTGGATTTGGAGTCTACCCTAGCTTCCACAAATATTTTAGGGAAAGAAATAGGTGGCTTTTAGGGAGGAGGAACAACATAAGGTGTTTCCTTCTCAACCTCTTCGACAACCTCCCTTTCAGGTGGTGTCGATGGATTTTTCTTAATCTCTACTTTTTTCTCACCAGAAATTTCCTCAACCTCATTATCACTCTCCTCAGGGTTTTCACTTTGTCTTGCACTACTGGTTGTTACAACATCTACATGCTCCTCAGGGGAGGGTCCTAGACATTTTTGTTCAAGCAGGGAGATTTGAGTCTCCAAGGCCATGTTGTGAGTCGCTAGGGACTCGATCATAGTGTTCAGTTGCCTAAGGGTTTCATTAATATGGAGATTTTATTTTCTAAACTCTTCATTTTGGATAGTTTGTGTCGCTACAAAGCGCTCCATCATAGATTCTAGCCTAGAGAGAGTTTGCGTCTCAAGGAAATTCTCCATTATTATTTCGAGGTCGGATTTATGAGCATATTGTGGTTCCTTAAAATACTGGGAGTGATAATTGTAGAGAAAATGTTGGTGATACATAGTAATAGAGACAAAAGTGCCTTAGTCTATACGGTGTAACACCAGGTGCGAAATTTGACATAATTGGTCCCCGGCAACGGCGCCAAAAACTTGATGCGTGATTTTTGCAAGTATACAAAACGCGTCAGAGTAATATAAAAGATTATAGATCCCACAGAGACCAAACGTCAATCTATCAGAATCTATTGTTACTATGCTTATCTAAGGAAGACCAAATCATGGTTTTATAGCAGGGAAAGTAAATAAAGTAAAAGATATAAATTCAGATAAAAGCAACAAGTTCGAATGCAAATCACATTAGTCAGATAATACTCTAAAATTCTTCTAATAGAACTACTTATGGGGCAATATTTTCTACTTTGAAAAGAACTAATTTAACGGGAAATGTCGCTTTTGCGTATTCATAACCGATTTTACTCTTTAAATAAAGCCTTTTATTGTCACGGATAAAAGGTGCGTATTGCTTTAAAGTAATAAATCTATTTTTAAGAAATATAGTTACTTGACTAAGTTGAAAAGTGATTTTGACTCAGAACTTCTAACCAAAAGATGATTAGACTTTTAAACCTATAAACGCGTCCGAAAAAGTTTTTAAAATCATTTCTTCTAAAAAGTTAAAGGTTCTTACTTAATTGAACAAAACGCTTTCGCTCTCTTTGAGAAATTAAGACTAACCAAGTTTATCAATGGTCGAACGAATTTTGATCTTACCCAACAAAAATAAAGTGCAGAAAACTTGCGTTAAAAACCAAAACAACCTCTAAAGTATTTCTACAGATGCAACGTTTAGACAGTTATCTTAACCATGATCATTACATTCTAACCCTAAAAGAAATTAGCCAGACATGGAAATAAAGTTATTAAAGCAGGTCATGTTAAAGCAGAAAAGTAAAAAGGTTAAAAGGTAAGCTAGCGGGGAAATTTAAACAAGTAAATAAATGCGATGCGAGAAAATAAAAAAAGTAAATAAAGTGCGAGGAAATAAATAAAGTAAAGCAAGACTTGTAAATAAAAACTTGCTCCAAATCAGAGGCTTTAAATCAGGTACAACTTGAAATAAATGCAACTGGAAATGAAAATGGCAGCAAGATTAAATCTCCTAACTACTATGATCCAACTCGATTACAACCGTGGTGCGATAATCCATCGATGTGAAGAATTATCACTTTTACAGAGTAAGTTTATGCCTAATGTTGCAACTAAGAGTGGATGATCCAAATGAGACAATCTAAGGCCTATTTATAGGAAACTAAAACCTTGGGAAGTACAAAACTACCCTTCCTCTATCAATGGAGTTGGTTTCAACCTCATGGTAAAAACAAAGGGTGGCGGGCGCCATATATGGATGGTGGGCGCCATCCTCCAATCATGGGTAAGTGGGTTGGATTCTGCAACTTCCAATAACCGTTTCACCATTTTCAAAGATGGCGGGCGCCATGTAGGGGATGGAGGGCGCCATGTTTGGTTGGAGGATTCCAAGAGTGCATTTTCCATGACTTGGATCTCTGTGTTAGCTTTCTAACACGTCGAGTGGTGCGTTATTCGGACTCATGGATCAAAAGTTATGGCCAAAATCGTCAGGCAGCACCACAAGAGAAAAACAACATCTTTTTATTGCACTAAGACTACAATAGACTATAATCCTATCATGTGAGTTTTGCCTTGTATTTCTTGGACTTTTCCTTCTATTTTCTCATTTTTGGATTTCTCCATAGCAAACGCCATCTTGAACACCTTGTGTGCAAATTGCCCTATTTCTTCCGTTTTTAGCCTGTTTTGCTTCGTTTCTTTGTGAAAGGCTCTCAAACGGCTAAATAAATGAAAACAAGTAAAGAACCAGCATAATAGGGAATATGTAAACTAAAACGACGATAAAACATGCATAAATTTAGTCAAATATAATAGTGTAATTTCGTGCTATCAGATGCGGAGCGTGTGTTGATAACGTCTGAAGTAGAAGATTGCGATCTTGCTCGGGTTGAGTAATTGTGGGTTTTTCTTGAATAAAATCTGAGGGTTTTGTCCTCCAAGATCATTGGGATTTGGGGGTTTTTGATAATTATTTGCTTCATCCAAATTCAGTCGTGCTTAAGGGATTGAGGAATTGTGGGTTTGCTCGACATGGTAGCTATAAGCGGAGGATTGTGAAGGAAGAATTGGGGTCACCATCTTGCGATCAAATCAGCCGAGCAGAGGGTTTGAGAAACGGTTTGGGTTCTCAACAAGGCAGATACAACCGGAGGTTTATCGAAGATTTGTGACATACTTGGTTCAAATTGAATCAAGGGAAGAGAGGAGCTTAGTTTTCAATTCAACATAATGGATTTGAATTGTGATGATTGTTTTCTATCTCTTGTACAAACTTTACAGTCATAATAGAAATTATCCTAATTTTAAATTCTAGAATTAGGGGCAGAGTACCCCACGCGAGGACGACAGGGGGAACTGCCTAAACAAATCACGTGTCATTTTTCTTTCTCGTCTTTTACTGTTTATTTGCTATAATTTATGAATTTGCACTTGTGGTTCCAAGTGTCTGGATTTGTAGTATGATAGAATTATTACTAAGGACTATAATAATCACTTTGATTGATATAATTGGTTTTAACACTACAAATTAAGATAGATTAGACTTGGTGTGATTACGCACACCAAGTGTTCGATAAAAGTCTAAAAGTGCAAATTTGTGAGTTTTATACTCAACAAGTCATTGGGAGTAATTGACAACAGTTAAAAAGTATAAGTGACCAATTATAATTGAATTAAGTGTTAATAATTCTCATTTATTTATTCCATTCGATCTTACGCATATCCGGTGTTTTCAGTAGAGGATCGTTTTTAGACGAGTGTATCCGAGTAGTTTTCACTGCGTTTTAAGTTTTCTTTAAAAACTCATTTTAGAAAATCACGGTATCTATTAATCCCCCCCCCCCCCCCCCCCCCCTTCTAGATACGTCTTATTGTCTAACATTGTTGATTTTCCTTGATTGAATGTGGTTGGGCACTTGACTTAACTGATGCTTGATAATTTGTGACGAGTTTTTTGTGAATTTGATTTGATTTTGTAACAATGGTGTTTGAGAGAAATGGATATCTGAGTGCGTTATATTTTTATTATTTTAAAAACAATTTCGTAATGAGGGAGGGGAAGAGGTGTGGCGCATTTAAGTTGCAATCAGAACCAAAAATATATTTCCAGATTATACCGTAAGTGCAATTCCGATTTATATTTTGCTTGTTATGTGGGTTCGTAGGCCACAACTCTGCTTGGGGCACAAATATATATATATATATATATATATATATATATATATATATATATATATATATATATATATATATATATATATATATATATATATAAAAGAGACATTTAAGAAATTTTGCATGGTATGCAAAAAAACCGAGAAAGAAATCCTAAAAAAAAAAAGTTTGGGTGTTAAGTTTTAATGATTTGGTTGTTAGGACAAATTTACGTTCAAGTTTAGAACTCTGGTCACCACACTCACCTCTCATCATATTTAATTAAAAAGAACTGAACTGTAAATCAAACTTTTAGTTTGTTCTAAAAAAACTCTTTGGTTTTTGTTTTTTAAATTTAAAAATGTTGGGATTTAGCTTTTGTAAAAAAGGTATTTTGTTTTCAACCCTCTAAAACTTGAAATTAGTCTTTGATTCAATACACATTGTAATGCAGCTAAATATAATTCGTATTAGAGCATCCACATCCATCATATCTATTTGAGTTCTTTAAATGGGACCTACATAATTTTTTATATTATTTCACACTTCTCAATTTTTTAAACAACTCATCTACAATTCTCAAATATCCATGTAACTCATCAAAAAATCTAAAATAGATCACATATTTAAAACAAATCAACTACATTATTGCAATTTTAGGACGTGCTTTAGTTCAGAAACGTGAAAACAAGTGAAATATCAATTTTTTGTTGACACAATTTCTTTAATAAATGTGTAGGAACTCTCAAAGAACACCGATAATCATGCTCTTAGGTCTCAAAATGACACACTATATATTTTGCGTGCCATTTGAGATGACTACGTATTACAGCACAATAGAGACCAAGATTTCAAGGTTTTAAGGATAATCCAAAGAAAAAGTTTTAGAAGGACCAAAATTAAAATCCACTCATTTTAGGTGGAAGAAATTTTCATTGCCTGCATGCAATATTGAACAGAACTAAAGCAAGAATAATATGCGTTACGAGAGATGCAATTAAAGCAAGAATAATATCAGTATACATATGGTAAAGTGTTGGTTTACATTATCAACCACAATCACAGAAGAAAAACAAGCAACATCCGATAATTTAAACCCAAAAACACTTGAGTGCTCCAATTCCATTGAAACTCAGCTTCTATCTGATTTAGTAATCAGTTCTTTCTTCCTTCAGATAAGATAATATGGTAGCCATGCCTGCATTATCATCCAACCAAATGTTAATAGAATTCTATTTAGATAAACAACTTAATTAAGCACTTATAGCATAAATGTGGATCATACATATAAGTTATTTATATAACAAAAGATATAATAGGGGGTTAAACTATTTTTATATGTGATAAGTTGTTTTTATAAGCTAAGCAACTTCATAAGTGTTTCTATAAGTTCTCCTTATCAGTGTTGCAGGTGCTTATGTCCGTAGATAAACTCAAATAAATCAATTGAAAAGGCCTAGCTAAGGAGAGAAGAGAAAGGACATGAGTATTAATATGATTAACAATTTAATGGGAGTAAAAGCAATACGTTGATTTGAAAGGAGCACTAGTAGCACCAACAGGTGTGTTGAAGGCAACTTCCTGAAATGGGCCAGCCATCTTTCCTCGTGGAAACCATCCAAGGTCTCCACCTTTCTTTCCCGATGGGCATTCAGAATATTCTTGAGCTACCTGTGAGGTCGACGAATAACTATCAGACATAAACAATTGGAAAGACAATATATTTCTATCTCAAATATTAAATTTGATTCGTATTTATGATTTCATCCAAAAGGAGACCATGATTTCCTACCGTAAGGGTTGTGTATATACCTTTGCAAACTCTGCCGGAGGAACCTTATCTCCATTGCTAAGCCAACCATCCTGCAGCTTCTTGTAGGCTTCGTTAATCTTACCTTGTTTCTCACATAAGACATGTCTTGCTGTGTTAAGGTAAAATCCAGATATAAATGTCATTTCGAGTCAAGTACAATGAAAGAAACTGATCATATAAGGTCACAAAGGTGCTTGAGTACCTTTGACATAAGTGCAAGTACCAAGTCCATCTGCAGCTTTCCCACCTTTTCCTTTTCCCTTGGAAGCATTCTCATCACTTCCACTTGCAGCCTGCTTTCCTTTACCCTTCCCTCCCGCTTTTGCGTCTTTTCCCATCGTTCTAACAACTCTTCATCATTTCAACAAAAAAAGTCAACAACTATTATTAAATTACAAAGATCTAGGTCATAGCAAATAAAAACAAAAATTCCAACAGAATTGCAAAATATAATTTTATCATCTTCTGTACCAACTCCACAAAACAAGTTCATAGACTCATTAACAGAAATTGATTCATGAGCTACATACAAATTCATGGCTGCAAATTGCTTAATTGAAATGACTAGCAATATTCTGTCAAGCTTTCTTACAGTGTTACACATACTAAATTAGAGACTAAGGTTACACCTGGAGAATGTGAAACCAGTAACCTGTCTATGTTTCACAACTCTATTTCGCTCAAGGTGTTTAACCAAGTGTAGCATATTGGAGCTGCTAGGCTATGCTACATCACTATAGTGATCGCTTTTGACTAAATCAAAGCAAAACCGGCTTGACCATAGGGTGAGGATTGTCCCACTTATAAGGATAAGCACATGTTCAGACCATATATTATCTGATATGAGACTCTTAATACAGCCCCCTCACGCCTAGAAATGAGTGGTTCAATAGCAAAAACCTAATATCAAATAGTCCAACAGATCTTAAACAAATATTAATGAATGTGATTAAGCGTAACTCAACCATACAAAATCAGCTTGTAGCGTGAGGATTGCCACCACTTACAAGGATATGTTCCGACCATATATTGTCTGATGTGAAACACATATTACACGCCAAAACATTATCATAATGGATAACCATTTAACTATCCCAGAAGCTGTCAGAAAAAACTATTAACATTCTTCAAAGTAAAGAAAAAGAAAAATCCAAACCCACAAGTATAAGCCAGATAATCAATCAAACAAAGAGCAATAATATGAGGCTAGAAATTGAAATTCAAGTTGGGTTTCAGAAACTGGTAAAATTTTACATAAGAGTATAGCTGAAAAACCCCAACAAAAAATTGAAATCGCAGTTCTATCACGCAGCAGAACAATTAAAAAGCACACTTAAAGGAAAAATGGCGAATTAGAACATATACCTGAATAAAAGAACAAGCTTTTTCACCTTAGAGAAGAAATCAATAGAAAAGTTGGAGATTTGGGAAATCCAGGAAGAACAATCAACGATGAAGACTCACGCAACTCACTCGCACCAGTGGCGATTTCGTTTATTTCCTAGTTACAAACAAATCCATTGGGCTTAATTAATAAAATTAAGGCCCAATAAGAAACATGACATTTTGTTCAGGATTTAACATGGCACCCCAAATTTTAAATCTGACACCCTAATATTTTTGTAATGTCAAAAATACTTTGATAATAAAAAATAAAATGGTCGAATGAAATTTTCACTAGTTCATTTAAAATTTCTTGAAACATGAATTTCGAAAATTTAAATAAAAAATACAAGAGTTTTTATTGGAAATTTCAAATTTTTCGATAAAACGCACACATTTTAAAATTAGTGGAAATAATTTCATGAGTTTTTATCAAAAATTTTGATATATTTTTTTAAATTAAACTCGTGGGAATTTCGAAATTTCAAGTATTTTTTCAAAATTTCTAGTATTTTGAAATTTCTTATAAAAACTCATGATATTTTTTTTTTTCAAAATTTCCGATAAAAATTCATACTTTTTGAAATTTAATAACTTTAAATAAGAGTATAATAATAAAATAAAAACATTTAAAATAAGGAGCATCGTGTATAAGTTAGGAGGTGGCACCTTATCTCTTCCATTTTTTTTTAAATTGCTATTACTCGAAAGATAACTTTACTAATATACTTAATTATTATTATTATTATTATTATTATTATTATTATTATTATTATTATTATTATTATTATTATTATTATTATTATTATTATTATTATTATTATTATTATTATTATTATTATTTAAATAAAAAAACAATATATTAACACTGGGCATGAAATATGTGTGGCAAAATTTTCTGAAAATCCGAAAATACTCTTAGGAGATGTATCTTTGAATGCGTGCTCAAATTAAAGTGTTTCAGAGATGCATCTCCGGAAAAAAAAATTGTTTAGACTTGGACGTTATATTTAAATATGCAGTGATATTTTCGGAGATGCATCTTCGAAACACCGTGATTTGGTTCTTTCGGAGATGCAACTCCGAAACTCTGGACAGTGATATTTTTTTTAAATCATCAATGTGTTGATAAATAATTAGATGAAAACGATAATAAAAATACAAATGATAAATGATAAGAGATAAAAAGCGATAATAGATACAATAAACTATTTAAAATAAAAAATAATACAATAATTATTTATAAATTATTCTGAAATTAAAAAAAAAAATATAGCCTATTGTGTATGTCTGATCCTCACTCCCTGGCCCCTTCTTTGTCTCATGTATCCTGCCGCACTCTCTGCCTTCCCAACCATCCTCTCTACAATGTCCACCGCCTCAAGATTGCCCCGATCAATGATACATATGTCCAAAGCCTCTCGCCCAATCATCTGTATTCATTGACAGATCGGTAAGAGATCAATGGCATGGTCATCCTCGGCCTGTTGGTTCTCTAAGATCTCCTCATGAGCTTTCCTAGGTGGACATCTAAGAGCATCTGGTGTCATAATAGGACACGACACTGTGTAAAATCATATCATGTATCCCTCAACATAATGCCAATTGCTGGATACTTGCATCATCTAACTTTCTATGGTACCAAATGACGCTCCCAGTCCTGAAATATGCCATTCAGATCTCGATGGCGAATGGTGTCGAAAGCATCCTGAAATGGAAATCTTGGTATGGTCTGCACATAGCCAAACTTCAGCATGGATCGCTCCGGTAGATATCTGACTATAGTGCCACTCCCAAGTGCCAGCCACCTAGAGTACACTGAGATAGGGTCATAGTTCATTAAAACATGTCAAAATGTGAAACTTGTTCATCAAGAAATCCAAGTTTGAAGATTAGGGTTTGAATTTGAAATTTTTCTTAACTTAGAAAATTTTCTAAGTATAGAAAATTTCTTATTTTTTCTCAACTTTATGCCACTTTTTCACCATGATGCATAATGATTCAAGGAAAGTTCCCAACATAAAAGTTGTATACCTCTATGAAATCTACAACTTTGCTTCACAGACTTTTCCCTAAAGATGCTTGGATCTCAAGATATAAATTTATGAATACATGGTCATGAACTAAATAACTTAGTGAAATTTTGCCCTAATTTAGGCAGGTTTTGGATCCAACTTCATGGAAATTTTTCACCTAGTTCCAAGAGGTATCTCAAAATGCATTTCATATATGAGTTATAGAGAACATTTCAAGCTTTCCAAAATATCCAAGAACTCCTCAAGATCATTTTTGAGTAAGGAGAATCGAAGAGATGAAGTTGGCAATTTCTCACTTTTTGTCCAAGCCATTTCATGAAGAACAAAGTTGCAATCAGTACCTATGCTGCCTAATCCATGCTTTACAGGTCCCAAACTTGTTCCTCACTCCTTAATTTAATGCTTACTCAGTTGACAAAGCTTTGATCCATGCCTTAGAACCATTATCCAAGTTGCAATTCCATAAATGGCATAAAGTGACCATTGCCATTTTGGAAAAGCACAACTTTTGCCACTTTCCAATTCTTGAGCATTGCACCTGTCTCCATTGTACGCGCAAGTCTCACAAGTCTAAAGTAAATTGTACAAGCTGATACCAACCCTAAGAGAGAAAGTACAAGCATGGCAAGCATTGTCCCTTCATTTTAGTTCAAATGCAAGAAAAGTGGCAAAAAGGCTAGAACTGGCACAGCTGTTAGAGGGTTGACATGAAACCAATTTCATACTAATATACAAACATAATACAACTTAGCACACGATTGGTTAAGGCCTGAAACACTCCCAAGCACAAAAACACCATAAATTTGTCCAAACTTCCAGTTTTGGCATAAGCATACCCATCTTCCATTTGGCTCGTGTGTTTCAAGTCTTAATCATTAAAACATCTTACCTACTTGATATCAAACCAATCCAGACCTTCATCCCTGTTCTGTAACCACTTTTCCATCATCTTCCATTGTTGCTTTCCAAGCTTGCAATTTGACTTGGCCAAGGCATTTCAGGCACTCTCAGAGCAAAGCAATGGTTGAAATACGTTCAGGGAAGTTCAAGGAAGCTCAAGCAAGCATCAGGCCTCCATCAAACTCACTCCAGTTCCATCCACGATTTCAACTAAAGGAGGTAAAATCTCAAACTCTATCTCCTTGTATAGGTAACCATAGGCCACGATTTGTGAATAAAAAATGTAGTCCTCATCACAATGAAACTGTACATATCTTTATCTTGCATTGATTTTACTTGAGTTGAGAGAATTTAGAACTTGAAGTTTATGAAAATATTAGGTTTAAATTTAGGGATGTTAAAATTCTCTTTGATTTTTGATAGTTAACTTACATAACTTATATGGTTGGAATCATGAGTTCAAATACTACAACTTTCATGTTATGAGTTTTCATTTTTATGGAAGTATGAGAGAGTTACAGGATGTCTGGCCAAGCTTGAGGAAGAAGATGAAGTACAGGGCAAGGACTTGTTTTGGGTTATATTATTTTTGCTTTCCTTAAGACAATGGATGTATAACCACCCCAGTGGCAAAGTAGCACGCTGGTAAGACCCATGTCCTGGGTTCGAACATGGGCGCTACTTTTGGTTTTCCATATTTTTGCCATTTTTCAATTTTTGTGACTTTTTGCAGGTTTGGGCTTAGTTCCTTGGGCCATGATTTTTTTGCTAACATTACTACCAACTTTGCTACATCACTCCCCTTGCCAACTTTTTATATTTATTTTATTTTATTTGTTTTATTTTCATTTTTAATATATTAAATATTTTATTTGATATATAAAAATCCTAAAAAATGTAAATTTCATAATATTGTATTTTATTTTATTTTAGTTTATTTTTCTCATAAAAATATATTTTATTTTAATAGATATCATATATTTTCTTAATAAATTTGTAAAATATAGTCAAAGTATATT